CGATGTTTGTCAAACAACAATAAAATCATCTTGACACTGAGAGTTCGTCTTGGAGTGAACAGGCCCTAATGAGATATTTCTCTTGCGTAGGAACATGTTCTCATCTGTAGCTATTGAATGGTGCATGTTTAACTCGCAGCTGGCTTGTGTCTCTGCAGGAGGAGGAGCCGGGTTCACTCCCAATGTCTCTCAGTGTTTCTGACTACCTCACTCCGTCATGGTCCCTGTCTCCCTCCTCCTCTCCGCTGTCTCACTCCGAGGCCAGCGACTCCGACCGAGAGGAGGAGGAGGATGACGATGATGATGATGACGAAGAGGACCTGGAGGACCTGCGGGGCTGCATGATGAGACGCCGTAAGAAATGCAAAACCTCGGCGACCGTCAAGAAAAAAGCCCAGCCAGGCCCCTTGTCCTTCACATGCCCCGCCCCCTCCTCGCCGCCGCCCTTCCAGCAGCCTCTAGCCCCGCCCACCACCAACATAAACAATAACATAAACATAAACATCGGCGCGAGCGGCACGCTGTCCCGCAGACAGCACTGTCCCTACTGCGGCCGTCACTTCCGCTCGCTCGCTAGGCACCTGGAGAAACACCACGAGCAGCAGCCCGAGGTCCGAGCCGCCATGGAGCTGTCGCAGCTCCCCAATCAAGACGCCTCCTCGCACCCCTTCTCCTCTCCCGCTCAGCCATCGGCCGCCCTGGGAACAACCTCCCTGTTCTCCCGCGAGCGAGACGCTTTGTCCTCGCCTCCCAAATCAGGAGGCGTCTCTTTCTCGCTCTCGCTGTCTCCTCCCCCCGCCTCCAGCTCCTCGAAGAAGAGCTCGGCGATGATGGTGACGCCTAGGAAGGGCACTAAGAAGAGCCCCGGCGCCTCACCCAAGCCTCCCGCCCGCAGGGGACGGCCGCCGAAGAAGCAGAAGGAACTGCAGCTGAAGAAGCAGGAGGAGGCCGAGCGAGCGAAAGAGGAGGCGCCTGGGAAACAGGAGGAGCAGGAGTTTGACACGAGGGGAGACGCAAGCGCAGAACAGAAGAACGGAGAGATGGCCAGGTGAGTTTGTCTCCGTTCAGGTTTCATGGGGAGCTTGTGTTTGTTAGTTCAGAAGTCAGGTGGTCTGGTGGGTCGCGACCTGGAAATAAATCACACGTTGCTTCTGATTGAGGGGAAAAACTAGGCTATGTGAAACAGGGCTGCACGATTAATTGAAATAGTTTAAAGGGTTAGTTCACCCAAAAATGAAAATTCTGTCATTAATTACTCACCTTCGTGTCGTTCCAGACCCGTAAGTCCTTCGTTCATCTTCAGAACACAAATGAAGATATTTTTGATGAAATCATTTCTGGGTGAACTAACCCTTTAAGTCACTTATAACAGGCAGTTTATCCAACCATTAACCATCTTCTCGAAATTCTACTTACGCTACGTAATATATTTAGTTTGTTTAATATGTTAATTTAGTAATAATCATCATAATTGAAATAGCAGTGATAGTAATTACTATTAATATTATTTCAGAATCATATTGATATGTAATCACACATTGTTTGGGGCAAATTGTGCAACACTACAAACAAACACATTTTCAGTGAATTTATTCCCCCAAAGGGGCGACGTATCTTGGGGGATACAAACATTAAAATAAAAAATAAGATTAAAAAATCATTAAATTGTATTATCTGAGTTCCCATAGGATGGAACATAGCAATAAATTAATTTCCTGATGTCTCTTTATGGTTTTGCCCTTTTTAGGGTTAAAGGGTTAGTTCACCCAAAAATGAAAATTAGCCCATGTTTTACTCCCCCTCGAGGCATCCTAGGTGTGTATGACTTTCTTCTTTCAGACAAATCCAGTTAGAGTTATATTAAAAATCATCCTGGCTCTTCCAAGCATTAGAATGGGAGTAGACGGGTGTTTTTGTTCAACAGTCCAAAAGTAGTCAAATAAAGCACATCCATCCATAACAAAGTGTGCCTCCGGGGGGTGAATAAAGGCCTCCTGTAGGGAATCTATGTGTTTTTGTAAGAAAAATGCCCATATTTAAAATGTTGTACATACTTTTCTCTTACTCTGCGTGTGCAGCGCATACGTCCTACGTCATCCGCCCGGAACGGCTTCCGCCTACGACAGTCCGCAGAAGTGAGATAACAGTAGGGCTGGGCGATGTGGCCAAAACAATTATCATGACGATTTTTTTCATATCTGTCGATATCGATAATTGTCACAATAAATGTCAAATCTTTATTTCTTTCAAGTTTAAAGCCAGATTTTTGCTCCAAAGTGAAAGTTGTAGAAACTAATACATTTTCCTTAACAAAATAAAAACTAAATTAAAAAATATATTTTCTTAGTTTCTGAATGTTTTAATGAGTGGTATTGTTTCGAATCAAGAAACAGGTTTGGGTTGCCTGATAATATTAATAATAATAATAATAATATCACTTTTTTTGTCTCTTAGAAATGCACATTTGGTAGTAGCTTGAGTAAGGATGCAGAGGAAAATGTTTGTTCATTATCAAAATCAGTAACATCTGTAAAAATTGTAGCAACCTCAGATTTATATGGTTAAATTTATTCTGACCAAGTTTTTTTTTTAATGAAGCATTGGTCTCCTCTAGTAGCATACATTTAAATCATGATGAACACAGTAAAAACCACACATGGCCTATTGCACCTCAATACCATGGTAAAAATATAACTATATGGTTTTTAGGTAGCCTATTTGTATGAAAAACAGTAGTCTAAAAACATTCAGTATAAATGCATACATGCTATAGCTTAATCACAAATACATACTATAATTCTATACCATTACTCTTGTAATAAAATTTCAAGTTAATATCCCACATCTCTACCACAATACCATGGTGCAGTCAGTGTTACTACAGTAAATCCATGGTAAATAATGGCGATGTGTAGATTGAAAAGCCTTCTGACTGTCTCGTTGCACACAGTGTTTCTCCTGTTTGGCTTTAAACTAGTTTAAATCACAGAGTCATTTGTGTTAATCGCTGAATTCAAGCGCTTCACACTGAATCTCACAGTGCTGCTTAATGCTCGCGTGACCGAGTAAACGCATCTGCTCTAGTGAGCTCACGCCGCGCGGCAGTTTGAACTTTGATCCGAGCGGATAAACGGTCCGTGAGGTGCATTTCAAATGACTAGAGCTGTTTCGTTCCGCTTTTGGCGTATAAACATTATATCGAACATTTATCGAATCTTCATATCGTTTTATCGAGAAAAATTATATCGCGATAATTATCGTTATCGAATTATCGCCCAGCCCTAGATAAAAGTATTTCCAAAATTTAAATATGGGTATTTTTCTTACAAAAACACATAGATTCCCTACAGGAGGCCTTTATTCACCCCCCGGAGGCACACTTTGTTATGGATGGATGTGCTTTATTTGACTACTTTTGGACTGTTGAACAAAAACACCCGTCTACTCCCATTCTAATGCTTGGAAGAGCCAGGATCATTTTTTATATAACTCCGACTGGATTCGTCTGAAAGAAGAAAGTCATACACACCTAGGATGCCTATACCATGGTGCAGTCAGTGTTACTACAGTAAATCCATGGTAAATAATGGCGATGTGTAGATTGAAAAGCCTTCTGACTGTCTCGTTGCACACAGTGTTTCTCCTGTTTGGCTTTAAACTAGTTTAAATCACCGAGTCATTTGTGTTAATCGCTGAATTCAAGCGCTTCACACTGAATCTCACAGTGCTGCTTAATGCTCGCGTGACCGAGTAAACGCATCTGCTCTAGTGAGCTCACGCCGCGCGGCAGTTTGAACTTTGATCCGAGCGGATAAACGGTCCGTGAGGTGCATTTCAAATGACTAGAGCTGTTTCGTTCCGCTTTTGCCGCATAAACATTATATCGAACATTTATCGAATCTTCATATCGTTTTATCGAGAAAAATTATATCGCGATAATTATCGAATTCGTTATCGAATTATCGCCCAGCCCTAGATAAAAGTATTTCCAAAATTTAAATATGGGTATTTTTCTTACAAAAACACATAGATTCCCTACAGGAGGCCTTTATTCACCCCCCCCAGAGGCACACTTTGTTATGGATGTGTGCACTTTATTTGACTACTTTTGGACTGTTGAACAAAAACACCCGTCTACTCCCATTCTAATGCTTGGAAGAGCCAGGATCATTTTTTATATAACTCCGACTGGATTCGTCTGAAAGAAGAAAGTCATACACACCTAGGATGCCTTGAGGGTGAGTAAAACATGGGCTAATTTCATTTTTGGGTGAACTAACCCTTTAAGCAATGCTTGGGTTTTCCAAATGATGCTGCTGTGCTGAGGTAGAGGGTGTGTTGTGTTCCTGCAGCCCTGGGCGCTCTCACATGCCTCCTCTGCTGTCGTCGCTCTCCACGCTGGTGCTGTATCTCCGGCGGCAGCAGCACTCCTCGTTCCTGTCTCTGTCGCGCGCTCCTCCGTCCGCCGAGGCCTGGCGTCTGCTCTGCCACTCCAGCCTGGCCCTGCTGATCCTCTACAACCGGCACCGCGAGTGTGAGGTGGCCAAGCTCACGCTGCAGGACTACCACAGGCGCGCTGCTCCCTCCTCTCCCTCGCTCGACTCCTCGCTCTCCCCGTTCGAGCGCGCCGTCCTCGGCCAGCTCCCGCGTGTTAGCGTGCTGGGCAAACGCGGCCGCCTCCAGCCGCTCATCCTTCCTCCGCACTCGGAGGCGTGTCTGGATCTGCTCCTGGAGACGTCTGCAGATGTGGGCGTGGATCCCCAGAGCCCCTATGTGTTCTCCCGGCCGTATCACTCCCCGGCCACGGCGCTGCGCGGTACCGACCTGCTGCGGAGCCTGGCACGCTCTAGCGGCGCTAAGAACCCTGCGACGCTCACCGCCCCCCGCGCGCGGCGACAGGTGGCCATCCTGACCCAGCTGCTGCTGCTGGAGGAGGGAGAGCGCGCCGCCAAACGCCTGGAGGACTTCCTGCAGAGGGAGTATCACGTGACCCAGAGCTGCGCTCGGATTGGCCAGGACCCGGCGCTGATGAACCGCGTGGGGAGAGTGGTTCTCTACGGAGAGAGAGAGGGAGTGCTGTTCAGAGGAATGAGCCTGCAGCACATCTGCCTCGAGCTGGACGGTACTACAAAACACACCCACCTCATTAGAAACACTGGGAAATATTGTTAAACTGTAATTTATCATCATTACTCCAGTCTTCAGTGTCACATGATCTTCAGAAATCAGTATAATATGCTGATCTGCTGCTCGAGAAACATTTCTGATTATTATCAATGCTGAAAACAATTGTGCTGCACAATATTTTTATGGAAACTGATACATTTTATTTTTCAGGATTCACAGATGACTGGAATGTTCAAAAGAACAGCATATATTTGCTGCATTTATTTGATACTTTTGTAACATTATAAATGTTTTTACTGTCACTTTGATAAATTGAATGCAGCCTTGATGAATAAGTTGCGTATTCAAAACACATTATAATAATATTTAACTGTTTTACTGTATTTTTTTATCAAATAAATGCAGCCTCGGTGAGCAGAAGAGACTTCTTTCAAAAATCATAATTAATCCAAACGTTTGTTCAGTAATGTAGCTATGCATGTGGTTTTGACATTACTTATATTACGGATGCATAAAGGAAACAATAAATTAATAACACGCAGCTTTTTGTTCTTAATGAACAAAAACAAATGCATTACATTATATCACATTTGTTTTACAATATCTAGAAGTAAAGTTATGCTAATATGTGCATACTTTGCAATGGTAGAAAAGTGGTTTTAAGAACGTGATATTAAGGCCTGTGATTTTGTCCAGCCTCCATTACTGTCAAGTTCTTCTGCATCTTAACATGAATTGGGGTTTAGTTGTTAACAATTCACTTTACTAAAAAAAGATTGACCGTTTTACTTTTTGTTGTTGCATTTAAATGCAAATATCAGAATTTACAATGATTCCTCATAAGCATGAGAGCGGCTCAGAAAGGCTCAGATGTGGACAAGCGTATTGTATCTAAGCTCAAAGCTGTGTTAAAGTGTTTCTTGTGTTTGTGTCAGTGATGTCGGGGAAGTCTGGCGACTCTTTCTCTGATGACTCTGATGCAGAGGCCAGTAAGAGTAAACTCAGAGCCGTCGCTGGGAAGAAGGAAGGGCCGAGGAATCGAGCGCAGCGGCCGAAGAAGAGCAGCGGCCCTCAGCAGTCCACGGCACACAAGAGACGCAGCGCTCAGGTCAAATCAGGTCAGCACTGAACCACCAGTTCAGTCACATTTCATTAGAAGTCATGCTGAATCTGAGTTTGAGTCTGAGTTCATCTTCCATGAAGAGCCAAACAGAGTGGAGACCAGCACAGAAGATCGCTCTTAATCTTATCCAGAAGAGACTGATAGTTCCACTTGGAAATGCGAGATAATGAAGGAAAAACTCTGATTCCAAGATAATTAAACTGGTCACTGACAGGAATCGTAGTGGGTAAGGTCTGAATCTCTGATTTAGCAGCTAAATTAAGGGGCATAAGTATGGATTTGTTCCAATTAATCTTATAACCAGACAGTTTACCAAATGTATCAAATAATTTCAAGCATTCCTTAACCGAGTCTGTGATGTTTGATATATACACGTCATCAGCGTAGAGTTATATTTTATGGGACGTATTCATACAACTTGTTGGAACTATTGCGGGACTTTGTCTAATCGCTTGGGCCAAAGACTCTAATGATGAAGTGAGAAGCAAGGGTGACCGGGGACTAGTACGATGTATGACGAATTCAGCTCTGTGTAACTATATGGATTTTAATTCTGATTTAAGAACATTTACTATTTTGGCTTTGGTCTCACAAAAATTCTCGGCTGTTGGACTGGCGGCTTTCATCTTCGATTCTCGCCAACTTTTCCTGAAGGGAGCCCACTGCTAGCGTAACCTCCACGGTGTCACGAAGAGCTGTTTGCATGCCCTCACAGATGTTTCTTATCACATCCTCTTCCAGGGGTGTGTTCCAGAAAGCGGGTTTTGTCGGAAACTCAGAGTTTGTTAACCCCAGAAAAGGGAAACTCAGGGTTTTCGGTTCCAGTAAAAGACCAAACTAAACCATGGTAACTTACTCCGTGAACCTAACCTGGGGTGCGTTTCCCGAAAGCAACTATGGTCGCAAGTTCCGTCGTTACCAGTAGATTTCAATGGAACTAACGACCATAGTTAGCTAACGATGCTTTTGGGAAACGCACCCCTGGTCGGGAGCAGGTTTTCTTCGGTAAACCCAGACTTTCTTTCGGTCTCCTCCCCCTGTTTCAAGCGTAAGCAATGTTTAAATGCCTCATTCATTCATTCATGCTGCAGAAATAGCTGTTGCCATGGTGAATCGTAACCTCGGAGCTCCATTGATCATGGCTTCTCGTAGTCGTGGTGCACGCGCTACACTAACCCTACTGAGTCGACTGAACTAACTCTGTTCAGCTGTTCAGAAACCGAAAACTCATCCCATCTCAGGGTAAGTCAACTCAGAGTTCAAGTTTTAACTCGGAGTTTGTTGAACCTCCTTTCTGGAATACACCCCAGAACTCCAAGTCTATCCGCAATCGGTCGAACTCTTCCTTAAGCAGGTCCCTGACGAAGCTAAGGTGCATCTTTAACTCGTCGGAAACAGTTTTTTGGGGGTTTTTTTAGTACATCAAGTTAAACTGACAGAAAAGAGAAATACTTCTCTGGCAACTAGCTTTTGATATTTTTTCAGTTCACATTTATTTTATATCAGGTAAAAAATGTTTTTAATGGTTTTGGTTTGTTAACTATAATAATCCTGCATGTACTTAGATGTGTTTATGGTTATTTCAGTAATTTTGTCATGGCTAGTGTTGACGTGCGTGTTAATGGTGTTGTGTGTCTCAGGGAAGCGCGGCGTGCTGAAGCGGCCGTGGTCGGAGGCGGAGCGAGTCGCCGTGGAGACGCACCTGAAGAGGAACATCATGGAGCTGCGTGTTCCTGCGAAAGCGGACTGTGAGCGATGCCTGCAGCTCTGCCCTCTGCTGGTCAGTAACCAGCGCGACTGGAGAGCCATCAAGTTCTACTGCCACAACCGCATCCAGCTCCTGAAGAAACAGGGACGCAGAGACGGGAACACCGCCTCTGCTGCTGCTGTCTGCTAACCACAGTAACACACACACAGAGACACACACACACACACACACACACACAGAGACACACACACACACACACACAGAGACACACAGATGTTGTGTCTTGTTTGATAACTGTTCTTCTAAGCTAGCACACAGTGCAGTCACACACACTTCCCACATTCCCCGTGTGTGTGTCTCTCGGACCATGTCTCTGTCAAACTAAGGAACTGTTTCACACGCCGGTGTTCAGACTCGATGAACTGATGCAGGTTTGGTGACGCTACTGCGTGACTCTCTCTATGGACTGTTTTTACGTGACTGGCCTCATTCGTTTGGTGCAGTTTGGCTGTGATGGATCCGGACTGGTTTTTCTGGAGCTGTGTAAACAGCGTTGGATAATTCGAGGTCAGTCTTACCTCACGCGCCTGGAGTCTGACAGACATCAGTCTGCACCTCTGGAGAGCTGCTCTGTCATCAGAATCAATCTCACAAACAACACGTCCAGATCATTATTCACACTCACATCAACAGAAAATACAGGAAATCATATTTTGCATAAAGATAATGATGCCTGGTTATATTATCCTTTTTGCTTTTTCTATTTATCTTTTTTTTTTTTTACATTACCGGTAATATCGGCAGGGCTTTTCTGTGGAAGGTTGTTTCCGCCACATGATAAAAACACTTTTTTTTTTTCCCTCAAAAAACAGATTTTTTTCTTTTTTAATTCTTAAATTCTTATTTTTTTTAGGTAACCATTGGCTAACCTCAAATGAGCAAAATCATCTTTGGAGATCAGTGGCGTTTCACTCCGTCGGACTTTATGTTGCTCCTCTGTGCCGATGCGAACACGAGTGGGTGTTGTTTTTGTGAAATCTCTGGCGTCAGACTGTTGAAGAAGCTCCTCGCTCGCTCTCCTGCACAGTCGTCTGATCTCTGGTCTGTGTGCAGTGACGTATCGTAACATGATATTAGCCGTTAGTGTTTCACTGCGTGATGATGTACATTCTGTAAATACGACTGAAAGTGCTACGCTTTAAAGTTGTTTTCTTAATGCTGTTGTAAAGCTTTATCAGATTTTAGAGAGACGAAATCTTGACAAACAGAGCTTAATGTCACGCTGCAAAGAAAACCTTTGAATTTCAGACGGTCATGTCTTTTTATTAAATTACAAACACATGGAAACATCAGTCGTGTGTATCTGGATGTCATTTATGATTCATACTTCTTACACAGCACAAGCTCACGTGCTGCAGGACTGAAAGTTATCAGTCATCAATGCTAAATAACCTCATTTTTGGCATTTTGGTTTTTTTACTATATTTTACTTCATGGGAATGGTGTGAAGCTTGGTAAAGGTTTTTGCGCTTGCTATGTGAACATACGTACACACGAGGACATGGTTTGAAAAGGTAAACTGGTCTAAGTTATTTCAGCAGATTCCCGAACACAAGTGAGATTTATGTTCTCGCGAGTTCCTCTGATGAACACTAGATGGAGCCACAGAATCATGTTCCCATCAGTCAGCTGTGAGCGTTGAGTATACTGTACCAGTCGTGTGCAGTATATATTCAGTATGCAAACTCGGTGTGTGAATTTGCTTCATGAAGTGCTCTGATTTAACAGGCTGAGTCCCACAATGCAACACTCCATTTCCAGTGAAGAAGGAACCGGATGAACACTTGTTACTTGATCAGACCCAAAATTGGATTAAAAATGCAAAATAGCTGAATTTGTAATGATTTCATGCAGCAGCAGTGTGATTATCAAAGATGACTGACATAATACAGCTCTAGATTTATAGATGTGTGTATCTGGGTGTCTTGTTTTGTGGAATAATCTCAGACTTTGCATTTCACATCACTGTGTCTTTTATTAAAATAACAAATAAAGCCAACTAATGTAGTGTTTCATAAAATACATGCATTAATAAAGATCAGAGCAGTTACCGATCTCATGTCTAACAGCACCAAAACACACTTGATCCCAACACGAGTAAGCAAGCAGAGACACATGCATGTATTTACAGAGCAGCTTTCCACATGCGGTACAACAGAGCTAAAATACACATCTGATACAATGTAGTGTTTCATAAAATACATGCATTAATAAAGATCAGAGCAGTTATCGATCTCATGTCTAACAGCACCAAAACACACTTGATCCCAACACGAGTAAGCAAGCAGAGACACATGCATGTATTTACAGAGCAGCTTTCCACATGCGGTACAACAGAGCTAAAATACACATCTGATACATGCTTTTAGCTCGGAGAACTCTGGAAATAAACATTTGCAGTTCCACATAACTAGCTCGGCTTGTATGTGTAACATTAATACTTTTATCAGCCCCTCCTGTATTTCGTAAGATTTTTCTCTGATTTTTGCAGCCTACAATGATTGATTTTGTGACGGCTTTACTCAACATTTGCGGCAATATTTACGGTATTTCTTGTGGTGTTTTGCAGTGAAAATATACCACAGACGACATTGTTCTAACATTTTTATTGCCTTTCTGACCTCAAGAACCATTGGGCTCTGTAATTTATAAGAGAACACTAAAGAAATGAAAAGAGAAAATTAAGTGTTATTCTCTTAACCCTATATAACTATATCATATTTAATACATTAATTTTTAAGGACTCAAAATTATCAGCTTGAACAAAACTTTGTTAAAAATCTCTACAACATGATCAAAATCATTAGAAACGTGTTAAAATTGATCAAATAATGATACAACAGTGTTTTGAGGAACATTTAATTGTTCATCTTGCAATAATTGTTGGCATACTGAATTGCATAATGTTATAATTCACATTTTGGCCATATAAATAATAAATGCACCAAGTTGCTAGTTTTGCTCAGTTTTGGATGTCACTCAGAGTGTGTGTGTGAGAGTGAGGTGTGAGTGAGTGAGTGCGTGTGAGTGCGTGCGAGTGAGTGAGTGTGGATGAGTGTGTGCGTGAGTGTGTGTGTGTGAGTGAGGTGTGTGTGAGTGAGTGTGTGTGAGTGAGTGAGTGCGTGTGCGAGTGAGTGCGTGAGTGAGTGTGTGATTGAGTGAGTGTGTGAGTGAGTGTGTGATTGAGTGTGTGATTGAGTGAGTGTGAGTGTGTGAGTGAGTGAGTGAGTGTGAGTGTGAGTGTGAGTGAGTGAGAAGTGTGAGTGAGTGTGTGTGCGTGCGAGTGAGTGAGTGTGGATGAGTGTGAGTGTGAGTGTGAGTGAGTGAGAAGTGTGAGTGAGTGTGTGTGCGTGCGAGTGAGTGAGTGTGGATGAGTGTGAGTGTGAGTGTGAGTGAGTGAGAAGTGTGAGTGAGTGTGTGTGTGAGAGTGAGGTGTGAGTGTGAGAGTGAGGTGAGTGAGTGAGTGAGTGTGAGTGAGTGTGCGAGGTGTGTGTGAGTGTGTGAGTGAGTGAGAGTGTGAGTGAGTGAGAGTGTGTGTGTGTGAGTGAGTGTGTGTGTGAGTGAGTGTGTGTGTGAATGAGTGAGAGTGAGGTGTGAGTGTGAGAGTGAGGTGAGTGAGTGTGAGAGTGAGGTGTGTGTGAGTGAGTGAGTGTGTGTGTGAGTGAGTGAGTGTGAGTGAGTGTGCGAGGTGTGTGAGAGTGAGTGAGTGAGTGAGAGTGTGAGTGAGTGAGAGTGTGTGTGTGTGTGAGTGAGTGTGTGTGTGAATGAGTGAGGTGTGCGTGAGAGTGAGGTGTGAGTGAGTGAGCGAGTGAGTGTGTAGGTGTGTGAGAGTGAGTGAGAGTGTGAGTGAGTGAGAGTGTGTGTGAGTGAGTGTGTGTGTGAATGAGTGAGAGTGAGGTGTGAGTGTGAGAGTGAGGTGAGTGAGTGTGAGAGTGAGGTGTGTGTGAGTGAGTGAGTGTGTGTGTGAGTGAGTGAGTGTGAGGGAGTGGGCGAGGTGTGTGAGAGTGAGTGAGTGAGTGAGAGTGTGAGTGAGTGAGAGTGTGTGTGAGTGAGTGTGTGTGTGTGTGTGTGAGTGAGTGAGTGTGTGTGTGAGTGAGTGAGTGTGAGGGAGTGGGCGAGGTGTGTGAGAGTGAGTGAGTGAGTGAGAGTGTGAGTGAGTGAGAGTGTGTGTGAGTGAGTGTGTGTGTGTGTGTGAATGAGTGAAGAGTGAGGTGAGTGTGAGTGAGTGAGTGTGAGTGAGTGAGTGCGTGCGAGTGAGTGAGTGTGGATGAGTGTGTGTGCGTGAGTGTGTGCGTGTGAGTGAGGTGTGTGTGTGTGAGTGAGGTGTGTGTGACTGAGGTGTGTGAATGAGTGAGTGTGGGTGTGAGGTGAGTGAGTGTGTGTGTGTGTGTGTGTGTGTGTGTGTGTGTGTGTGTGTGTTGGAGAGCATGCACGCTTTACAGTGGGATGATGCAACGGCTTCGGCTGAATGCATGTTGCGATGACATCACATGACAAATTCTGTGGGAAATCTGCTCCAATTTTGAAAAATAGCAATCTCGAATAATGCGGAGCTTGTTTGATTTTGCGTTAAATTCAGCGATCGCAAAATCCTGGAGGGACTGTTTTATTTTAGTGGTTCACAGTGAAAATGCAGAAAGAGTAGCAGATGAAGTCAGTTTCAAGTGCTTTGTATGGACGTGTTTATTTAAAGCTGGATTTAGGTGTTTGTATTTAATAATAGCCCATTTGTTGTATTTGAGAAATTAACTGCACAATCATATCATTCCTGGGTTTGTTTGCATCATGTTAAAAAGCCAAATGAAAAAAAAAATAAAACGAACTAGTGACGTTCTTAATTTAGTTATCTAAAAAAGTATGCATTTAATGTCAAATTCTGATACAGTTAACAATTTCTGCCTTGTGTATTGGATATATTCTTAACTCCTTTGAGCCACTAGAAAGTAACAAACGACTGTGATTGGTCCATCCTCACCATCGCTGAGAAAAGTAGTCTCACATGAGGACCTTAGATTATTTATACCTGTATAGTGTCGAAGAAGCTGCTTTTTAGACTCATCTTAAATGTACTCGCTCAACATTAGGCACTTGATGAGTCTGAATTCGTTCGGTTGCTGGATGTAAATCGGTGACTTGTGGGACTTCAATCCTGATTAGGCAGCGGCTGAGAAGTTGAGTTTTAGTTCACACGCAATGTGAACGCATCGTTTGAGCTCGGGATTCATACTGTGGCGGGAAACTGGCTCGCTCCGTTCGAGTGGGATCCTGTTTACGTCCTATATTGAAGGAACCTGCCTTCACAATCAAGTTGCTTTCGACTGAAAATAAATTGTAAACTGGATTGCATTCGGCCTTTATCCCGAAGCTGGTGAGTGGAAATTTAGGAGGACTTGTTTTAGTCCTGTTTGTTTAAAAACCAACAAAACAAGTCCCTACATCATCTGCTTCACTGCCTGCTTTTACTAGTCAGTCATCTGTAATCCACAATCTTAAGTACAGGGCATAATGCAAATGAGTTTTGGTTACATCAGAGTATCCCTGATACTCAAATTGCTTAACTCAAATGAATCCTAAAAGAGATGATGCTGAATTTTCATTTGGTTTAAAGGTGTGGAGTAACTGAAATACTGCTATATCTACTAATATTTTAAGCAAAATACTGTGACGTTGATTACGTTGATATACAGTGGTACTGATAATAGTTACGGATTGCCATGTGATTGTGTTGGCTTTTAAAATAGACCGAAGGTTTTACAGCCGTGTTCATTGTTTCAACACTATCAGGTTTTTATGTAGGCATTTCTAAAATCAGGTAACAACCTGAAGGTCTTTTTCTCTATTGTGTTTACCATGTTACCAGTGTGTGTTTGGTGGCTGATGGGTTATTGCTCGTGCAGACGCTGTGAAAGTGCACGCTCATCTGTTGACATTAGATAGAAGTGTAACTTGAGTGACTTGGAAATGGAAATCTCTGCTCACTCTTTGAATGTTATTTTCAATGCAAAATATGTGGGCTTTAGAAAGTGGCAAGATCACACACAAACCTTCTTGTCTCTGAAAAGAGCAGTTGGAGTATTTGTGTGTCGTCATGAGGATTGACTTGATCTTTCTGCTGATTTCAGGTGAGATTCATTGGTCTTGGAAATTACCAAATTTGAAAACGGCAGCTTACATATGTATAAATATGATGTTCAAGAAATGGGTTATGCCATCGATTCCTCTGATGACGGTCACATGGCATGCAAAAAAATTCTTAAAAGTACATTCGTAAGTGATTCACGTTCCAACCCTCTAGCTTTTACTTCGTCTGAATACTGTTGTAGTTCTGTAAGCTGTCCACAGAAATGTTGGAAATTAAATGTGCGACTAAAGAGAAGCTCTCAGAACTGAGCACACCAACTCACGAGCTGTTCACATGAACACTTGTAACTCTTCTTGCAGTTATGTTTTTGTTTAATAAATTCGCAATTCTCAGAAGAAAAGTGTGAATTGTGATATATAAAGTGCAAGTGCAAAAAAAAAGTATTGTGAGATATCATTTTTTCCCCCAAATTTGAAAACGGCAGCTTACATATGTATAAATATGATGTTCAAGAAATGGGTTATGCCATCGATTCCTCTGATGACGGTCACATGGCATGCAAAAAAATTCTTAAAAGTACATTCGTAAGTGATTCACGTTCCAACCCTCTAGCTTTTACGTCGTCTGAATACTGTTGTAGTTCTGTAAGCTGTCCACAGAAATGTTGGAAATTAAATGTGCGACTAAAGAGAAGCTCTCAGAACTGAGCACACCAACTCACGAGCTGTTCACATGAACACTTGTAACTCTTCTTGCAGTTATGTTTTTGTTTAATAAATTCGCAATTCTCAGAAGAAAAGTGTGAATTGTGATATATAAAGTGCAAGTGCAAGAAAAAAGTATTGTGAGATAAAAAGTCGCATTACCTTTTTTAATTTTGTGTTCTGTGGCGGAAAAAAACAAACAAAATCAGAATTGTGAGGAAAAAGTCAGAAATGTTGAGTTTATCTCTCGTAATTCTGAGTTTATCTCTCGTAATTCTTTGCATTCCATGAAAATGTTCCTGGGAATTGCGAGGGAAAAAAGTCAGAATACTTCTAGAC